CTATCTTACCTTTAATTGTACTGAAAAATTTCAAAACGTTTATTTGTTAGAAATATTCGTTGATTATAAAATAATATTTTTATTAATGTAATTATTCCACTAAAAGCTAATGTAATCTTTCCGAAGATCGGGAAAGGATCGTTTTACTTTAATCTTCGCCGGTTTTATTTACATTTCATTCATTTTGAAATTTATTTTAAGTTAAAAGTTTTTGCTCTTTAACATACACGAAAAGATGTTTCAAGCTAATAAGCAAAATTATGCGCTTAAATTTTTTCAATTCAAAGGAAAATTGCTTAAAAATAATTTTAAAATTAATTATTTCAAGTTTTAGCATAAATTTAGAAGTTTATAATTGATTATTTTTACTTTTATAATTGTTTATTGCTGTTACAATACATATCATATTTTATAAGTTATACGTATCGTATTTTATGTATTTTTTTAAATTTTATTTCAGTATATTAAACTTATTTTAAACGATTTATAATTTGCATGAAATTTCAGAATAAAACTCTATTTGTAATTTTACATTTTAATTTTAATTTTTGATATGCGCTTATGTATATATTAATATGCATATATTTTATACACTCATACATTTTGATTTTTTTAGTATTTTTTATATTATACAAATTTTATTACATAAATGATTATCTATCCTGAATTCTGATACGGATTATAAATCATCTAAAATGGACTTTATTTTATAATGTATTAAATTATTTATATTTTTGTAGATTCTAACTAAAATATAGAAATAATATATCTTTTTTTAGCAATGTATATTTTGGTAAATATATTATTTCTTTATTCATTAAAGAGAAGTAATTTCGGGATCTAAGTTTATCACAGTACCGTAATTATAAATTGTATTCGTAAAACAATTATATTTGTAAAACAAACAGTCAATCTCATGCTTCAAGATAATTTAACATTGGTAAATAACCCGTATTAATAATCCGTACATTTAATTGATTTGAATCCCAAACGAGAATCCAATTTAATTAATATCAGTATAATCAGCGTCGGTTAATTATATCTTGCTGCACTTCTCGGAGTGAAGTGCACTCTACGTTTTCATTTCGTCGACGATGAATTATATGGGAGGAACTTTCCCAGGCGATTAATTAAACACTGCCTTGCGATATTAATTTTCAATGAATTTTTAATTACACATCGTAATAGCTGCAACTCGTCATGCAAAAGTAGGTAACGCTATTCTCTGGCATCCAATTTGTCAAGCTTTATATACTCTCCAAGTTCGTTTGTGGGACATCCGTTCCCGTTTTCAAAATAACTTTTTTGTGTCTGCTGCAGCATTGCGATCTTGTTTCGATTGTTGGATTTAGGTACTGGCGGAAGTATCGTTGAGAGGAAGGTAATGGTTTATCCTGAACATCCAAAGTAGACACGATAAAGTTCAAGTGCCATCTGACGAAAGTTTCGAGCTTCTCACAGGCGGCTTCGCTCGGGCGGCCGGGTCTCCCAATATAGAGGGGTGGATTAAAGGTGGATTGGCATGTGCATTACCACCTGCCACGCCTTCCCGCTTTTCCAGTTATACGATTTGTTCCCTCGCTGAATATCCTACCACGAGAAGAGGACCATCGACGTCTCATTGAATCAAACGCAATTGAAACTTAACTGAAAACTTTTCTCAGGGGAAGCGAACGACCTGCTATTTAACGATCGATATATAGCGGTTTATCAATCAGTGCAAGTACCAGGCGTGATTAGACATTTACTGAACTAAGTAAACTAAATTTCAATACTTCTATTTTGGTTGCAAAGACGTCCGCGATCCTGAAATGTCCTGAATATCTCTTTCAAAAGTTTCCATAACCATTTGATTCGTGGTATTCACGTATATACAGGATGTTTAGCGTAACGGTCCGCACGATTTTTTAGACACTTCCGACAATTAAAAAAAAGGGTTGAAAGGTGATTATCCACCTATTTCATGCGGGCTACATGTGATAAAAAAATTTTTTTTAATTATTTTTAAATAAAAAAAGTCAAGGTTATCTTGAATTTTTTAAATAACACCATTTTTTTCCATAATATTGTAGGGATCTTCAAGACGAATTCAACGCACTATCGAGATTGTAATAAAATCAATAAAACATCAATAAAAGTCTTATTGATGTTTTATTGATTTTATTACATAATATTTATCACAAATACTCATTAATAAAGGAATACTTATGTGAACTTATTAACTTATGTGAATAAATTTTATTGATTTTATTGAGAGATATTTAACCTTTATTGAGAGTTGGACTGGACATTATAGTGCGGAAAACTCGTTGACTCCTCGTGACAGAAAAAATCCATCGGAGATAAACCCGAAGAACGTGCCGGCCATCGGACTGGTCCATATGTATACTTATAACACGATTTCCAAAGATAATTTTGAATAAAAATAGTGTAATAGCTGCTACGTAGATTAATTTATTAAAAAAGAGCAGAACTTTGTGTTGCAGAAAGAGGCAAGCAATTTGAACATTTGCATGCATAAGTTACAATTTTTCTTCATTAATTTATGTTGATAATGCTGCAAATTTGATGTTAAATATCAATAAAATCAATAAAATTTAAGTATTCCTTTATTAATGTATTTGTGATAAAATTATGTAATAAAATCAATAAAACACCAATGAAAGTGATAATCTCGATAGTATGATGAATTCGTCTTGAAGATTCCTACAATATTATAGAAAACAAATTGTAAGGTGCTTTTAGAAAATTCAAAATGACCTTGACTTTTTTTATTAAAAGAAATTTTTTTTTACATTTTTTTATCGCATGTTGTAGCCCGCATGAAATAGATGTATAATCACCTTACAACCTTTTTTTTAATTGTCGAAAGTGTCTAAAAAATCGTGCGAACCGTTACGCTGAACACCCTGTATACTACGTATATATTATGCGCTTTCACTGAAATTTATTTACATCTGTAATATTGCGAACTGAATCGTGGAAATTCACATATTTTTCAATATTATTATCGCACATGAAAAAACAGTATTTTATTCAGGAAAAAGTATATCTATAGTATCGTTGAACTTTGATTTCTTTTTCTCTTTATATATTCTTCTTTCGTCATTAATCTTTCAGATCTATTCGCTCTCTTCCTGTTGAATATCACGTCTGCCTATCTCGTATTCCCTCACACAATATGCTTGTGAAATATGAAATTTGAGCACAGATCGCCAATGATTGTACGCACCGATGCATGCTCCGAGCATGCATAAACCTCACAATTAATTCGACACGAGCCGAATTTCCGTTTCCGCAAAACTCGGCCGCTCGACAATTGCTGCGACCACGACAGCACGTCGAAAATTGCTGTTGAATTATGGAACAATTAATATCGACACGTTATAACGTGGTTCATAATGTGGAAGCTCCCCCTTTCGACGAAGATTGCGCGGGGCTCCTGTTCTCCCCGCAAGGCAAGGTGGATTCGACCACAATAGCGTCAGTTATAGGTACGTTCTCCTTCGAGAATTTGTGGTCGTGCGCAAACGCGTAATTAGTTTAAACCAAGTAACGTGGTAATTAAGCCGGTTTAACTCCTTTATCACAAGGTGAAGCGGACGGCACTGTCTATGTTAGTCTCGTATCTTGGTTGTCCCTGTGGTTTTCCCAGTTTATCCGCTTCGTCATATTACGCACCTCGGTTTACAAGCGAGTAGCCTCGTGTGAAAAACTTGCACTAATTTTACGCAAGAGCTTCACAGCTAACGCAATTTTCTTTGTCCACATTCAGAATGTGTCTTACAAACAAATCTTGACGAATTAATTTGTCAACGGCGGATGTATAAGTACACCAGAGACAAGGAATAGATTCTTTGTTCAGGACTTCTGATGTGGATAGATTTGATTTTGATAGTGCAGGAATAAAACATAAGATTTGATCAACATTTGAACATATAATCGCGAATACAATATTCGTGGATTATACAATCTTTAAAAGTGCACAATCAGCCAAAACGTTTCCTCTATATAGTATTATTCTTCCCTTATTTCTAGAATTTTTCAAAACATCCCATTTTCTCTCGGTAGAAATTCAGTAGATTTTCGCCGCGCCGACGGCGAGATTTTTGTGAGGAAATCGGAAGATTCTCTTGCAGTATCGGAATTAACGGGGGAACAAAAGAGGCGAGGCGAGGCGAGCGCACGCGGCCGTGAAGCGCCAGTCGAAGCGAGAGCACGTCGAGAATAATACGTACAATGGTGCGCTTAGACGGCAGCAGGCAAGCAATTCTGGAGATTAAACCCGGCCATATCTGTAATTGACTTCCCAGCACATCCTTGGCTTTTCATTATTCAGTCTCGTGTTGAAGGAGCGAGCAAACCAGAGACTTTTCCAGCCTCTCGTCAACTTCCAAGAGCGTCGTTCTGCCGATTAGTACTTTTCTGCGCGAAGCGATGCCTTTGATCTTTATTTCACTGAACTATAATTCGCGACTATATGTTCTTGGCTTTTCATCATCCGCGGTTAATCGTGGCATTAACTAATTCTGTCTTTCTCTTCAATATTTGTACGATCCTTTGTTCGCAAACAGATAGTTGACAATTTGTAACGACGTGTTGTCAGGATAGCTCAGCCAGAATGGCCGCAAAGCTTGTAAAGGCTCAGCGCAAAGCGTTTGCGTAGCACGCCGTCTCCCACGAGGATTCATAAATTTTTATGAGAAGTTTTATGAGGGCTCCATATCAGGGCTACACATACGCGAGTACGCGGGGCCTACGTCGTCTCGTTTTCGCCGTTCTCGATATCCAGTGACACGTCGTTTAACAAAATTCACAAGCGGTGCGCACAGTGCACTGCACGGCGAGAAAGCATCGAATATCGATATTCTCTCGCGCTCGAGCAGCCGGCAGTCCCGTCCTTTGTCTCTCACTTGCCAAACCGATCTCTCGAGAAACACGCGTGTCGACAGCCAAGCGTCTAGTTTAAAGCCACCGTCGGTGTTTTTCCTGTGTTACAGGTGCCAGGAATGTCCTGTGGTGAAGCCTACATTCCTCTGCGGAAACGACAATCGCACGTACAGCTCGCCGTGCCGACTCGAGTACCACAACTGCATTCATCATACCTCCGTCCACATCGCCTGTAAAGGTTTTTGTCCGTGCAAAGGTAAGAGATACGTTTGTCGGTTTGTCTGTGTGCAAATCGGGTTTAAATCGAAACACTGATTCAATCTCAGACACTGTTTAAAGGATGTGTTCCACTTAATTCTCGTAACGCTCATGGAATCATTTTATCCTTATTATTTATCAAATATTAAGCAAGGATAAAACTGCTTGCGAGCACTGTGAGCGCCAAATGGAACACACCCAAAGATGTATCACCCGTCCTCGTAAGAAGTATAATATTGGAAATATTATTACTTATACTTTCTATACAAAATTAATATTAACATTTATACTTTCTATACAAAAATGAGTACTAATTGTAAAACTATATACATATGAAATAATTGTGTAAAGAATGTCATTTCTTTATTTTTATTACATTTTTATTTACTATAAATAAATAAACTGTATTTATAAAATGACAAATCTTTGCAGTATAATGAAACTTTACATAAATTATCTTGAATACTTAAATTAAAAAAAAAATAAAATTTTTTGTCATTATTTTTGAAGTTGAAATATTATAACAATAAAAAATAAATAGCAAACAGTGAATAAATTATAAAAATAATTTTATTCACACACAACTCTTTCATATATACCCCCCCCCCCTCCACACACACACGCGCGCGCGCGCGCGCGCGTTTTAATTTATTTTTATGTGGAAAATATAAATATTAATATAATTTCAATTTTATACCTTTTGCAGAAACTATACGAGTGATACATCCTTAAAGACAAGAGAGAACTCTAATAAGTTTCAAAAATAATTTTAAAATTGCGTATCATTGACATAGGCTATTCTTTGGCTATAAACATTTATACGATTTCTCTTTTTTTCTTATATTTTTTAATACCTTTCTTTTAGTACATTATTTTTAGTATTTCTAATTTTTTATAATATATATTATTAATTATTTCATATAGCGAGACAAATATATTTCTAATGAAATCTTTGTCTAAATTTTACATATTTATGGTTGATAAGAAAGAAGTAATATTTTTAATACGAATTAATTATTGTTTTCTGTAATTTATATAATTTACATTCTTGCGCAGAGAGAGAGAGAGAGAGAGAGAGAGAGAGAGAGAGTGTGTGTGTGTGTTTTACAGAATTATGTTCGTTTGGTTGGGGAATTATAATGTTTCTCAATCATCTTGTCTACGAACCGTGTGATGTTAGTCATAAAAAATTTGATTAAAATATAAAAACTTCATTTCATGGAAAATGCAATGTGATAAAAATGTACTTAAAGTGTATTTGTTCATCACAAAATTTAAAAAATATTAATGGATGGAGGAAGGGAGGGAGGGGGAAAGAAAGGGAGAGAGAAATATGTATAATATAAAGAAGACAAGGAAAACTATTCATTATTATAAAATTTTAATTTGTTTTCAATTTCTATTTATGTGCTTACCAGAGTTCTCTTTCAAAACAATATTAAATAAATGAATTTACGACATTATTCCCAGGCAAGAGAATTGGATATTGATAATCATAGACGGTTCGACTTTCGTTAGATCATCTTTAATATTTCGATGACTGAAAAATGTTATAAATTATAAAGTAGGGTCAATCTTGAATTCGTTACAGTTAAAGAGTCAAACCTCTTACATAAGTATCAAATGGCATATGCATATTACCGCTCGTACCGTTACAAAATTGTAGCTAAAACTTATTGAATTCTGTCTTTTGAACTATCTCCAATCTCTAAATTATTATTATAATTACCGTTCCATTTATTCATACGTTCTAGATTTTTTGAACACAATCATGTTACACAAAAAATCGTAAATTCTGTGCCAAGCATCCAAAATTTTATTCCTTTTTTTTTTAAATTGTAGGTAATTGTTGCGTTAAGTTAATGATGGAAGTCACTAATAACAATTATTTAAATAATAATTTTGTGACACAATTTAGATATACCTAATTAGGGGATCTAATCGAGTTTACAATTAGTTACATTTAAAAAATAGTTTACATCCAAAAATAATGTAGACTAGTAAAGTTCCGTTTTATTCCATCGAAATAAAATTAATATTTAAACATAATATTGTATGCAGTTTAACGGTCTTTAGAAAATGAGAGCGTATTATAGAAATTTTGTTACGTGTCAATTTTTACGATGACATACAGAGAGTCTAACCGAATCGTTAATCATGGAAGTGAGAGCATGTCGGTGATGATTTGTAAAAAGCGAGTCTCTCTACGAAATTTAACGCGCAAGATCAATTTGTAAGCATATTCATGTTGGAATATACGTATGTATTGTAAGTTTCACAATGGTGTGCCGCGTTTGCATCGCGCTCTGCGCCTCAACGACACGTGGACCTTCCATGAATATTCATAATTGGCGGTTAGAACAATAGTGCCGCTGTTGGGCATACAACGCGATGTACCGGGGCAAACGTTGAGCGAATCGTGAATCGTCGTGGAATTGGAGAACAGACAAGATCAGAACCGATTGAATTTGCGAATCGGTGATTCGTCATATGCTTTTAACATGTGTACACTATATACGGTATAGCGAGCAAAGAAGATGCATGACTTTATTTTGTCCACATAATTATTATCCGTTATTGTTCAATGGTAATAGATTTTTATGATTCGTTATGTAATGTGTAGCTTATAGATTGGAAATGTTTTCATGTAAAGTTAGACCATATTTTCGAAGTTTGATTATTTTTCAATAATTAATATTATGCAGTATAGATATAGCACTAATTAAAGCTTGTGGTCGTACAACTAAATAATAATATTGTATTATTTATTATATTATAGGTAAAATTGCTTTTCTATTGATTTAAATTTCTGACAGATATAAACTTTATATGATTGACATAAACAAAAAGTTAACAAAATACACTCACTATTTTTAAAAAACTCTGTTTTTGTAATAATTTCTTTTATTTTGTGTTATTTACGATTAATTTTCTTAGTAGATATGCATATATTCTAAATATATTTTAAAAACAGCATCTCGACTTGAATCTTTACTAGATAATGAAAAATTCAAATTGCGCTTTTTGTTTGCTACTACATGTATACATATACATATACAAGGAGTATCAGCATATTTTAAATTATAGAAAAGACAAGGATATTAATAACGAAAATATACGTATGTATTTTGAAGTAGTGTTTTCTTTATTGAAAATTTAAACCAGTTCTTCAATATTTATAAAATTGAATTTAGCAATTGTGGTATTTTAAAAGTAGACACATATACATATTTAAGGAATAAATATATATTTATAGCTGTGACACGTGTAGACAATTTTGATGCAGTTGTTACCTCATGAGAAAAATCTTTAAATGTAAAAATGTGAAGAAACACCACTAAAATATTTATAATGAATATTTGAATATTAACAATGAATATTGATGAATAATACAAGTGAAAAGGTCTACTTTTAAGATTTAAAGTCGTTGTTTTGAAAAATATTAAATATATTTTAACGTGTTTTATAAAACGTGTTTTAGAAAATATTAAATATACTTTAACGTAAATATTTTAACGTAACAAACTGGAATGGAGTACTTATTTTGTAGAAAATTTGTTTCGTGGAAGATTTAAAGCAATGTAGACAGTAATCTCTGGCTTGTAACGCTAATGTATAGCGAAGAGGAAAAAAACCTGGAAATTTTACTCAATGTTCGTTGATATTAATGAATATCAACGAGCGAAGTTCCAATCATCTAAATTTATCGGTTGGTGTACGAGTGGTAATTGAATTTTATGAAGTTGTATCGCTGTCGCTCGTGTTTTACCGGGAAAATCATAACGATCGTGATTGAGTGCACGTGCTAATTTCGAATGGTTTATTTGGCTATGGTTAATGAGTGACGATTGATTCGTAAATACGATTGATTCCAAAGGCGCGGTTGCATTTTTATCAGCCGTTTCGTAACGTCGCGCATATTGCTTTCATGTTTTAAACATTAATATGAAGCAATAAAAATGTTATCGCGTTCACGATCGAGCGGTTTACAACATACATGCAGAATATCGATTATCAGGTATGGTGACGTTAGGACTATCATGTTTGCGGTCGAATAATCCACTGGAGATTCAGTAAGCTTGATGAAAAATGACGTGCCGCTGCGCGAGATAAAATGTTTATGCAGAGATCAATCACGAAGTTCTCGGTTGACATATAAAATATTTGACGAATATGATGCACAATTTCGACAAGTAATCTATTCTGCAAAGACAAGAAATAAATAAAGACTCGAAAACGATACTGGCAATGAGTATCAAGTATGAAAACGGAGTACGGCAATGCTTGGGGAAAAATGACACTTTTTGCACGTGTATTTTCTTCTGTCTTACTAATTTTAGTAGTTGTATCTTTCTATTTTTTGCCGCTATATATGTCCCGCTTTTAAATCAGATCCTACCTTAAACACTCGGGCTCTGCGCCATAAAAATTTTCCTGTTTTTCTGGCGAAAGAATTATTGACGTTCTCCACTTGAAGTCAGCGTCTCTTCTCTCGCGTCTCGTTCGTGCCGTATTCGACGACAAACCCAGGGACTTCTGCGCGCACATCGCGCGGAAAAATCACTCCCGCCGTCGTGGATGGGCGAAAAGTGCCCTGCCGTTAAAAAGCGCAGTCGGCCTTTCGATTTCTGACGTGCAATTTGTCGGCAGTCACGCTCGAGTTGATTCGGGCTAACGAACCAAGTATTTTCGACGCGTTGCGCCGCGCCGGGACGAAATGTAATTTCGCCGCGACTTGCAATCAGCCTGTGCCGCGAGAAGAGTACATTAATCAGAGGTGAATTTTGCAGTTGCTGATCTGCGAATGTACTCGAAGAAGACGCAGATGCAAAGGAAGAAGATGCTTATGGGCAAGATGGGCCGTAACCACGACATCACCCTCACGCCTCGCGACTTCAATTACGATAATCATCACTACCAGTATCTTAAGTACACGAAACGTGGCAAGGTAAGTCATATATATTTGCTTCTTACGCTGCATTTCCGCTGCAAACGACGGGGAAAATATTGCGCGGTGTCCTTACATCGTAATTGAGTTTTCAGATGGAAATGCGTTTCTCCTCTCTTGTCGCATTATACATATATTTTCTTGCGTATACATAACGTACAACGCATAATGTGTCGTATAATGCATCAGAGTAATCTGCAAAAAAACTGCATCATTTTTATTAGTGCAGAAATTTTTATTGTGCAGAAAGTATATATATATATATACATGATTTTTAAAAATAAATTATATAAAAGAATGTATAATTTAAGTGGTTGATGAATAACAATGTGATATTTCATTTATTTCATTTTGTCTTCATTCATTAAAATAACTATTTCATTCGTCAGCTTCTCACTATGTATATGATTATTATATTCTCCATTGCATGACACTATTCTTAATTTTTACCTATTTTCTATATAGTATTAATTAATTTATTATTTAATCATATAAATGAACTTTTATTAATTTTAAATTCTAATGTAAAATTTATACGCAGGAAAGTAAACAAATATATATAATATATTACTTTTTTAAATATTAATTGAGCCGAGTTGAACGTTGAATCATAACGATGTTCTAATCTAACATTTCGAATGCTAATGTAAAGCTACTTTCTCGAGTTTTCAATTTAGAAAGCAAAAATCGATTATAAATTGATCAGTTGCTCTGCTAAAAATAAGAAATAAATTGTAATTACGTTACAATATTTAAACAACTGTGTAAACGTGATACGTGTATACATTTGTCTGTGATTATTTTATGAGTAATCAGATATCGTTTGAAATTTGTTCAGTATATTTTGTACGAAAATTTGACGTAGAAATTAAATTACCAGAAATAATCAAATAATAACGAATGTTGAAGTGATATTTTTTCAATAATTGATGTAAGAAACAATTCTACTTTCCATAAGATTGCATATCTATTATATATGGTAGGCAGATTATTTGTAATGTAAGCCGTGATTTATTCGCAAGATTGCAATTTTCAACCAGGCAATACGAAGGTATTTGCTTCGCCGTAGAACCCCATAAAAATGGATTACGGCAAACGCGCTATTTCAGAAGAAACATGAGTTCGTACTTTATGGCTTCGTGGTTTGTTCATTACTTTTAACTCTTTACAGATTTGTAAAGTAGGTTTCCCGTAGTATTACTGCAGCTCTTTTAAGTTTTTTTATACATACATATTTCCTACGCTGTCACAGTAGGCAGCATTATTTTGCAAAATTGTTTTATCTCTAGTAAATCGTTAGAATATGTTGGAATTAGAAAGTGTTAATTAAATTCAGCTAGCTAAAATTTATGGGTCGACTGAAATTTACGTCTGACTTCTGGATTCGTATACATTTATTTACTAAAGAATTTTGGAGAGGGCGGAATAGGTTGATTCCACCCTCCATAGCACAGAGTAGACAGAAGAGGATACAGATGTATTCGCTGTATTTTTGTTCGCGTTAAGAACAAAGAGTCTACATATCACGTTTACGGTAGTAAAACGAGGTGGCGTCCTCCCTCTGTATAAATCACGTGGAGCTGCGTTTCCCTAGGTCGCGCCTTCACAATATACTCTCTCACTCGTCGGCGATTATATCGATCCGATCTCAAGAAAGTACTACTTTCGGCGTTCAAAATTACAAGGTCGCGGGATGTATTAAGCAAGAATTCGTTCGATGAGACTCTGTTCTTATCAATAGAAGAGAATTCCGAAAATTGGCAATTACAAATTCAATTCATTTGTCATAGCACTCGAATTCCACTTCACGTTAACTCGAGAAAAAAATTACAATCAAGTTGAAGATATTTTGCATCTAAAAGCGTAAAAAAAACATCACGCTCTGTGTCACAAAGATAATTTAACTTTTGCTTTGCGCTCACAGCTCTCTTAAAAAAAGATTAAATAATAAATTCTACATTTTTTCTAAAAGTGTAGAATTAAGGGGCAGTATGTACGTACGTATATAAGTAGACTAAAAACAGAAATTTTTCGTAGGAATTCTTTTCGAGATTTTTGGAGAGTTGTACGATGCAATCAAACTTTTTTAATTTAAAAGTAGAAAGTTACGTACATTGCAATGTTTGTAAAAACAATTCTATTGCCATTGTGTTCAAACAAATTAAAATAAAACATGTAGAAAATATTATAACTAAATAAAAATATACATATACTTTTAAAGAAGATAAGGTTTGATTATACGTTTCGTAAATAGTTTCCCAAAAAATGAAGGAGGTAAAATTGCCGGATTTTGGTCTAAAGTCTAAACCATGGAATCCCTCTCTTGTGCACGTTTTCTTGCATTTTTTGATGTGCTAAATTATTTGCAAACTTTTATTTCGAACTGATCTAATGGGAGTATGTTAAAAATCGCAAAGTAGCATAATTTCGTCAAAATCTGATATTTGAGTGCAATTTTATAATATTTTCCGATCAATTTAGCTTGAAATTAACGTTTGCAAATAATTCAACATATTAAAGAAAATAAAAAAAACATGCGTTAGAAAGATTCCATTTTTTTAATCAAAATTGACCTATTTTATTCATTGTTCAGGATATTTAGTAAAATAACCAATTTTAGTTTAAGCGATGGAACCTTTTTTAAGTTTTTTTTTTCATATTTTTTGATGTGCTGAATCATTTGTAAATATTAATTTCAAGTTAAACTGATGGAAAAATATCGAAAATTGCAATCAAAGATGAAATTTCAAAATTATGCTACTTTTAATGCGATTTTCAACATGTTTCCATCAGATCAGTTTGAAATAAACGTCTGCAAATGATGATGAGAATATCAAACGATACGAGAAAATATATATACATAAGAAAAATTAATTTAGGCCAAAATCCGATAATTTTATTCATCCTCCTTTCTGAAAAACCTTTTCCTGAAAAACCCTTTGTTTCGTCTATTCTCTACACTCTTTTAACATGGTTTGACATTTGAGTTCTCAATTATAAAACTACGCTAAAATTTTTCGAACAATTTGTTTCTTTTCTCTTTTTATATTTTTTTACAAAATGCACTAATGTTGCGTCAGGAACCGAATTTTTTTTGTGTTGCGTGCTTTTCCCGTTTACAAATAAAAAAGAATAAATCTAAATTTGATTTCGATTTTCTCTTGTTCCATTTCCTTGTTTCGTTCCTGCATTTTATACAAGCTAACACAAAACTGCATACTATTGCTGCAGTATTGTTGCTTCAAAATTGATTCGTTTTATTCAAAATTTTTTGGTCGGCGCGTTTTATTGATATCGGCACATAAAAGTGCAACTTTCCACATCGCTGATATACATACATTTGAAGAGAACTTTCCGATACACGAGACTCGTTTTTTTATTGACGTTAGAACGTACAATTACTTAACAAGCTGTTTTTAGTACAGAACACTTATCTTTCGCTCGGTGAGAAACACTTATGCGTGTCACATTTAGTATTATTCACCTTCTTTACGCGCTTCCCATTCTCGGAGATCTTATGATCTCCCTGGGGGAATTTATAAACGCGGCCGCTTGTGCTAAAAAGCAACGTTCAATATTGTAGCTTCCATCGCCTGCAGCTCGTGTTGTATCCTTCATCCTGTTACTCGTGCATTACCGTTTCTATCCCGTTCAACAATAAATACAGGATGTATCTTAAACATAAGTTTAAGCTCTGTGTGCAGGACACACAACGAGGAAAATTCTAGTATGTACTCTTGTATATACTAAAAAAGAAAATCGCCGAGTGTAATTTTAAATAAATTTTTAACTAAGTGTATATATAATTTTACACAAGCCATTAGTTGAGCTTTAGTTTGTTTGAGTAATAAAAACGTAGTATAAAAGAGTCATCATTTTCGATTATTTTCTTAATATTTCTAAAATGTTGGAAAGTTATAAACATGCAATATTTCAAGAATTTCATTAAACTCACAACATCGATATGAAGTTTACAGTTATTGCTCTTTGATGAACGGCAACAATCAATTTTTGTGATGTTTGATGATAAAATATTCAATTTGGATAGTTTTAAACAATTACTGTTTTAAAATTGTCTCGTCTCGATAAAATTTTAAGGAGCATTTCGCATTAAATTGAATTCCACAGTTCCGATGTTCGTTTCAGAAGGACATGAGATTTATATAGATAGTATATATATTTGGCGACGCGGGGTTTGCGTTTCGATGGGACAAATATGATCCCGTGACGTTTTCTAAAACGATTTCCATGTTTTGTCGGCGGGTATCAACGTCATGTGGAGGCAGAACCGCGCGAAACGTGGGGCGCGAGAATTTTCCGAAAGCTTGTGACAAATCGATCAGATCGAACGCGATCCGATTGATTGGCACATTATTTTAATGGCGG